ATTGGAGCGTCAATATCTGAAGTCTCATGGGGATATGAAAATGGATGATGCATGCGGGAATTCCATGACACGGGACTTTCGCCCGGTGAATCTTGGAAGGATGCTGCAGGATGGAAAGTGGTGGGTATTGCAGCAGGCAGCACGGCAACTGATGTAGGATCAACCTGAGATAGAGACCTCAAGGAATCATCATTCTCTGCTCTGGAATCACCCGACTTGTCAGATTCCTGGCTCAGTCTTGCCGTTCTGATTTCCATGTCATCAAAATCGTCAACTGCTCTAGTTTCAAGTTCGTTCTCTTCATCTTCTTTTGCCATATCCATGGAATCATCTGCTTCAAATGCTAGTTCATCATCAGACTCTTCATCTTTTGGTACCTCAGATGCCTCTGATGCTTTTAGCTTTGCAATATCTACTCCAGCACCAGGACCTATACCATTAAGATTACTGAGAAAAGGCTGTGCTTCCGCATTCTTCAAAATTTTGTCATTTAAGCTCTGACCCATCTGCTCTGTATAAAATTTCAAAGGTGCCAAAACAACGCCGTCCAAGTTTAAGGCAGCCAAATCAGAATATTCTACAGGACCAGTACAGCTTTTCTAAGGGACTGAGAACGCCGATGCTGGTCATACTTGCCAAGTGCAAGCTCTTCATTGGTACTCTTGCTCCGAGCATAATTTCTCACTTGGGAGTAGCTAGTTGTCTTGCTAGCTCCAGAAGAGGGCTTTGTGTTTTCTTTTCTAAGATCAGAAAAGTTTGGAACTGATTGTGCAAGAGGATTTTCGGATGTCACTCTCCGCCTTCTGGAACTGGGAATTGAAACTTTGGCAGCAGAGCGTGGAACTGCAGCTGCTGTGGTGCGAGGAGTTGACAAAGGCAGATTGCTATTTGGAATATGCTTCTTATTGTTTAAGCTTCTAGAAGATCCATCGACAAAAGATATCTCATTATGTGTTCTATCATGTTCAGAGTACTTCTGATCAGGAAACTCAGAAAGATGGTCTTCACTTTGAATGGAACTTATTGAATGCTGCCAAATGCATAACTTTATCAAAATTAGTAATAAATAATTCAATCACAAGTTTTCAAATTCACATAACTTGAGGGGGGGAAATTTAAAAAGAAGGATAAGTTCTACCAGTTACGAATTTTGGCATTTATTTCCCGAAAACCTAAATGCAATAGGAGATACCTGCTCCCTCTGTGACCGAAAATCAAATGACCTCACTTTCTCTGCTCGCCGACGAGCACTAGACACAGAACCAGAAAATTTGGCCTTCATCTCAGCTATACTTTGCTCAAGGCTATCATGCATAGCCTTCAATTTGGCTTCCTTCTCAGCTCGTTTTGAACCCCATTCTTCCCTCAGCTTTGCATCTCTCTTTTGCATGTACTTCTCATAAAATTTTCCTCTAGAGTCATCTGAAAAGGTGATACTGGAGAAACTCCGCCTTAAGCTAACAGAAATATCCTGGTTATCTACCATCTTTGTGGGAGGAGTACAAAAGTTAGCCATATTACTCAAACTACCTATTGGTTCAGGAATCAAGTTTTTGTCAGCCATCTTTTTGTCATCTATGGTTGCTGGTTTTTTGTACTCTAAGTTTGGTTCCAGTTCAATCTGTGCATCCGCAGGCTTGCTTCTCCGAGCAGAACTGAATTGATCAGAAGGAACTCGAAGTTTGTGCTCTGCAAAAAGCTTTTCAAGTTCATTTGCCTTCATTTTTAACTCATCATTCAGCTCTTGGTTTCCCCTTGACTGCCTTATCCTCTGAGTTTGATCTACCGGCACCATCGGGGCACTTACACTCTCTTCACTCTGAGAATCCGTCTTACTAAAAACCGACTTTTTATTTGAATAAACAGAACCACCTTCATCCTTCCTACCCTGTGGCTTCTTGCTCGGTTCAGAAGCTACTGGAACCTGATTCTTGAACTTCAATTCATGGACTTCAGAATTATCAACTTTGCTTATTTGCTTCTCAGATGATGCCAAGTCTTTCTTTCCCACTACCTCAACTTCCCCATTAAAAGATCTCCACTGTTGTTGAGGAGCAAACTGATCACCTTCACTGCCTTTTTGCTGAGCCTCCTTAGTTTTTAGTCTGACACCACCTGCAAACTGCCCTGATAATGTTCGAGAGTGGCCTTGACCCCTAAAACGTGATTGTGATACTGATTGATCTTTACCTTGGGCCTCCACTTTATTCTTTAATTCACCCTCAGGAGTATCATCCCCCACAGCATCTGCAAATACTGCATTTGGGAACTGAGAAGCGTGTTGGTTTTTAACCCCCACAATTACCGTCCGACCAGGAACAATCTGAGACTGAACCTCTGAACCTTCCCTCTGTCCTTAAAGAACCCTTAACCTTCTCCTGAGAAACCACTTGAGCACCCAACTCAATCTGTTCTAACTTACCTCTAAAAGACTGATAGTGGCTGTTCTGTGATCCTGATGGAGCCTTCCAATTCATTCGCCCCTTCAACCCCGCATCGCCTTCCTTCCCCAAAAGATTATTAGCTAGCTGTGCTTGCACACTCTTAGGTTCAACTTTAACTGAACTTACCTTGTCACTCAAATCCTTCTCATCTTTTCGTTCCTTATCCTCAGTTAAACCTTGAAACAAGGAGTTGTTACCTTGAGACACAAAAGATGAGGAAGGCGTGCACAAAGGGCTATCTGTATTACCATCCTTGTCATTACCCAAGTCAATGCTCGTGTCACTAGCAGCGCTCCATCTTCTCAACACGGCCTTTTCAGGAACTGCAGGCGCAGTTGATACATCGGATGAAAGTCTTCTCAGTTCTACAGATTTGTCAACAGCAATGGGTTTGCCTCCAGAACTTGAGCTCTGCTTCTGTTTGTTCTCGAAGAGACTGATTCTATCCTGCACACTAAGCCGCCTAGCAGGTTGACTGATTTGACTAGGCAATGACTCCTTTGGCCCCTCTTTCTTTTCTTCTTCCTTGTTTTCATTTTGAGAACATTGTTGTGTAGTACTTAAGAGCTTTGGTTGATGACATGCGGCTGGCTTTGATTTGTCTATGTGGTGCTGGTTCAGCATAGTGTTTGGTTGTAGTTGTTCTTGGTGCTTATTTTTCGAAGGCTGCTGGGGCCTGTTATTAACATGAGACCCAACTTGATCTTCATTGGGGTCATCAATTGACATGTCAGATTCCCATGATGCTCTGACCACTTGATCATCAATGCCTGCCTTCCATTGGCTAATCAGTTCTGATCTTCTCTGGCATAGTGACATGAATTTGGTGCAAGCCTCACTGCACCCAAATAGTAGAACTTGCATGAGAAATAATTATTACCAACATTTTCTAGGTATTGATATAGGGAAAAAAAAGAATGATACAAAAGTAAGTACAAATTGATGGAACTTAGAAACTCTACATCCCTATGACTCCATGCCCAACACACGGCTGTAGGGATATGAACAGGGACGGACGCAAGATTTTTAGTTGGGGGGCGAACTTATAATATCTTAGGGGAGCGAAAACAGATTATCAATAAAAAAATACAAAGAAAATATCTAAAATATATAATCAAATTGGTAGGGAAGGAAGAGACCACGAGAGAAATTGTTTGATCTAATGTTTAAACGTATCCACCTCCTTTCTTATATTTAGGCTAGACATTTGGTAAGACAATTTTCCTTCTTACTAAACAAAATCCTTACAGATTAAACGAAGTCACTCAAAATCTGAGAGCAAACGTAAAGAAATATTGTTTGTACACACACTGTTTCCATACCAGACCCAACCAAAATGAAGAAACAACTTCATTTCTCACTTATAGAGAAACACAGTACAAAATACTGCAAAATCTAATGTCTCGCCCAATCAAGGCCTGGTAAACCACAGGCCCCAATGCTAAAATGAAGAATAACCACGGGTGACAAACAGACAGACAGCATCACAATCAAAAGGAGTTCTAGAGTTCTTACTTCAAGCGAAAAGCATCAAACCAGTTCGCAAACTGTTGGAGTTCAGACACAGTTTCAGAGTTAAAACCAGCAGCATAAGCACGTGCAAAAGCTGTGGCCAAATCCTGTTGAACTGCATTCAGACGTACATCAATAGCCCTTAAAAGCTCCATCCTGTTAATTGGAAATAAACCAAATCAATAAGAAAGCATAGGTAGTGAAGCAAATGGAAGATCCAATTGTAGCAACAACAGCTTCTTTAGCCTGAAATTTTCAGACATTCCGAGAAATATTCCGTCTCTATGATACAAATACAACCCACCTTCTGCATATCTTTTTTTTATAAGAATCGGAGGCCTCGTTAAAAACCCCCTTCATACTTCTCGGAATACAAAAAAGGTATTCATATCTTACCTTCTGCATATCTAAAATAACATTTCCTGACCATAGCTTTATTCAACTAGCTCACATCTTATTCTATCAAAAAAAAACTAGCTCACATCTTGAGTGAAACTTAAACATTTTAATAGTTCTGTTTAGTGCTATATAAACTTTACTTGAACAATTCCAAGCTTCCTAGTGCTAGAAAAGACATGTAATCATGCATTGATTATCAGTGTGCCCATATATGATCATTAACTCGTTGACAGCCCCTTCCATGCCTAAAGCATAGAAATTTTCTAGCATGTACAAGCTTCAAAATAAATCAACTTAACATTTGCAAACATGTAAGTGAAACGGTATATGAATGTCACAATCATCCACAATCACAAGTTTGGATTTATGATAATTCAACCAAACAAATTACACCAACAATGATATGTAAAAGCTAGAAAAAGGAAAATAATTACTTTGTTGCATCAGCAGCCGCCATCATTCCTGCAGCATCCCCGCCTATCACAAATTATTCACGCATTGTCAGTTTAATGACTTACAATTGGCACAAGATCATAATACTGCACATCGCAACATGAGCAAAAAGAATGATAATTAATTGTTGTTTCAAAAAAGAAAAGGTTATTTCAATTACCTTTTGTAGGCCATCCTTAATCATACAAATGAATGTGTAACAACTCTGCTTCCTGGAATTATTACACTTAATCAAACTGGTTTTGTTAAAGGCTATGGTAGGAAGACTATATCCCCAAGGTGTTCACTGAAAATAGACCTTCATAAGGCTTTTGATTCTCTGCATTGGGCCTTTATCTCTGATGTCCTCACTGTTATTGGTCTTCCTAGAACTTTTATTAAGTGGGTTGAAGCTTGTTTCACTGCTGCTCGTTACTCCATCTCCTTTAATGGGAGTCTAATTAGTTTCTTTAAAGGTGACAGAGGATTAAAACAAGGTGATCCTATTTCACCTCTTCTGTTTGTCCTTTCCATGAATGTCCTATCTAGAATTCTTAACAAGGCTGCTCAAAGAGGTATGTTTGGCTTCTACCCTAGATGCAAAAAAGTTGGTTTAACTCATCTTACCTTTGCAGACGATTTACTTATTTTCTACAAAGAAAATGATGAACCCGTTGTGGGGGTTATTAGTGTTTTAGATCACTTTTATGAAATTTCTGGCCTTAAGCTTAATGCACAAAAATGTGATTTCTTTACTGCTGGAATCTACCCTACAAAAATTGATGAAATCAAGCGAATTATTGGGTTCAACCATGGTTGTCTGCCTGTTAGATACTTGGGTGTTCCATTGGTTTCTAGAAAACTTTCGGATAAAGATTGTGTGACACTTATTGATAATATCAGGGACCGTCTTCATAAATGGTCTAGAAGACACTTGAGCTATGCTAGTAGATTAGAGCTAACTAAAACTGTTCTGCTTAGCATCACTAATTTTTGGTGTAGGCAGTTAATCCTACCTCAATCTGTTCTTAACCGAATTGAGCAATTATGTTCACGGTTTTTTTTGGAAAGGTTCAGACAAGGCTGCAACTGGTGCAAGAGTAAGTTGGGATAAACTTTGTCTCTCGAAATCCAAAGGGGGTCTAGGACTTAAAGACATTAAGTCTTGGAATAAAGCATGTATTATGCATTTGATCCGGAATATTCTTGCGGGTGAGGTTCATTATGGATTGCCTGGATTAAAACCTATGTTGTCAAAAATTCTGATTTTTGGAATATGGAGGTTGGAATTAACTCAAGCTGGAGCTTTCGAAAATTGCTTAGTATGAGGCTTCAAGCTTCTTCTGTTCTTGCTTCTGGAGCCCAGTCGATCAAGGACATTTGGCTCCTGATTCGAAACAAGGAGGAAAATGTCACTTGGCACAAGTTGATATGGTTTCCTCTTCATATTTCTAAGTATAGTATTATTACTTGGATGGCTTTTTTAGACAGACTACCAACTAAAGATAGGTTGATACGAATGAGGTTCAACATTGATGATAAATGTGTGTTTTGCAATGACTTGTTGGAAACTAGAGATCACTTATTCCTTCATTGTGCTTTGGCTAGTTCTTTATGGGATGCAGTTTTGAATCTCAATGGCATTCGTAGAGGATCATGTTCATGGGACATTCACTTAGCTTGGGCTTCTGCTTCTTGGAAAGGAAAATCCTTGCTCACTACTATCATGAAGTTAGCTTGGACTACTTTTACTTACACTATTTGGGAGGAGAGGAACAAAAGAATATATCAAGAACGCTCAAGATCTTTTGATGACTTATTTCATGCTATTCAAGAGTCTGTTGCTATCCAACTAAGGGGTAGGAATATTAATAGGAATGTCAGTGTTAATATCACACTTTGTAATCAATGGGGTATAGAGTATTGATGTTTTGTTTTGTTGTTTATAGCTTGTAAGTAGTCGGTTCTTTTTGTATGAACAGGCTGGTTTTTTGAAGCAGTTATTTGCTCTTTGGATAATAAAATTGATTTATCCAAAAAAAAAACTGAGGCAGCCATATCGTTTGCTACCATAAAGCATTGAGAATTTGGTCTCATTTCACTTTGTCTAACTATGTATAAACTTAAATTAAAGGATTTATATTTAGCGTATTAACATTTTATGAATATAAAATAATTATAGGTGAACTGATTTTTGGATTAATTTATCATAGGTGTGTATCGAATATAAATATATATATAACGGATTTAAAAGAAAGAATTAAGATTGGGAAGCAGACAAATTTCCATTTCTCAACCAATTTTGGTCATAAACAAATGGCATTGACATTCTTACAACTTACAAGCATTTAGTCCTGAACATGGATAATAAAATGGACTGGAATGTTGAAATTTATCAAAACAGAGCATAAAAGCAAATTCTTATGAAAGTTGATGATGAGCAACATTGACCCTCCCGCAGCTAAAATCAAATTATGGGTTAATCACCTCGTCGTCCCCGAAAGGGCATTTCGCCATTTCCTTTTTCCTAACACTACTTAAATTCCCATTATTTTGCATTCGTGCCCTTCATCTTTTTACAAATTCAATATGCATCATCTATTTTCATTCTTTTTGTTAGCAAGTGTAGAACTCGACCAGCTCTTCCATGGAACTCAACTGAGCTCCGTCGTTCTCGAGCATCCAAAGAAAGTGCTCGAACAAAACAACCTCGCAAGACACCACGACTTCACTGTCGTCATCACCGCCGCCATTGCCGCTGGACCTATCGACCAGCTCTTGGAACAGAGGGTGGCAGATGATCTCCGACCTTACCAGGTATCTCCGCCGCGACTTGCCGACATAAACTGGGTGGGAAATTCGATTTCTCTTCGGAATCCGACGCCGCTATGGCGCTGCTGGTGCGGGTCAGTTTGGTTAGAGACGGCCATCTTTTTTATTGCAGACTTGAGCTTTGTTAGTTTCCCAACTTTCGCCATGTATATACTGAACTCTAAAATTCAAAATGTTTTAAATGTAGAGAGAGAAAGAGGAGATTGTTGAAGAAGAGAAAGGGGCTTTGTGTTTGAGTTGAAGTGCAGGGAAAAATGGAGGAAGCTTCGTATATAAAGAATGGAGAGGGGCCATTGGCAGACTGACAGGCATTCATAGAGATAAATAATACGTCAAACTCTATAAAGGTCCCTCGATTATTTGTTTGTTTCTAAATATATATTGTCCTTTCCAAAACTCTCGTACTAGAGAAAGGTCATATCAATGCTCTAATGTTCACATATCTAACCGAGCACAAATAGTAAAAGAATTGTTATTATTTTTAAAGTTTTATGTACCACTTTAATGAGTGATCAACTCAAACTTTAGAAAATATTACAGTCTCAAGTGATGCAAAGTCAACATCGATGTGCTACACTATTTTGTTGATGTAAATTGTAAGCACTTGAAAATGACCAATCTATTATTTTTAGAGTAACTTTTATTCGTAAACGAAAACTTATAAATCTATGATAATTTTTTTCATTAATTCTATTAGATCATTTGGTGTGATATATTTTTTATTTAATATAAAAATAAGTGTCTAAACTATACGATTTGATTTTTAAAGAATTTTTTGTTAAAATTATGTGGCTAATATTTTCTCTCACGCACATTTAGGTGTCTATTGTTATATTTTAAATATTTAATTTTATTAGTAATAAAAATATTTTTTCTTCAAAAAATATCAACCCCTTCCCATCGTTGTCCCTCTCCCTCTCATCGCCCCACCTCCGACAACGAACAATCATCATTGATTGGGTTTTATTCGAAACATGAAAAGAAACGCAATGGTGATGGCTGTGTAATATATGGATGGTTGTAGGCGTCGAAATCACCAGAAAATTTAAACGAAAAACTTAAAAATTCGACGATCCTTCGTGGTGTTTTTCATGACGAACGGTATAGTTTCACGTGGATGGAGAATTGAATTTTAATTGCAATGACGAGACAGTTCTGATGTTGTCAATGGTGACAGTTACAAATCGACGGTGTCCAACCGACAACAAAAAATGTAAAATTTAGGAATTTTTTGGTTTTTAATTATAATATTAATTTTTTAAAATAAAATAATTTTTAAAATTTTATACGTGTGACAAGTGTCAAATAACGATCAAAGTTGACGGTTGTTACAATCCAAACATCTATAAGTGTAACGTTAAAAATATTAAATACTTATTTTAGCGAAAAATTCTTTAAACACCAAATTATATTTCGAGATATAATTTTGACATCTATCTTTATATTAATCCTATATTTTTTTGAAACGTGTTGAAGATATGACATCTACATCTTGACGTTTTCTGTAAAATCGTTGTCCAACTGTAATGAAACTACATATTCATAAACTAGTAAACTAGGAATGGTTAAAATTAAAAGAATAGGGATTAAACCTGGGAAAATATGTAGTGGAGGGATCTTTTAAGGTATTCGACCGAAATAATATTGCACTGGAAATATGAGCTTAAGGCCCACTGTTTTATATACCAGCTAAGAATGAGATATTTGGGATGCAAAGAAATAGTGCTCCCTGTTTGACCATTTTGTGGAGACATCTTTGTTTGAGAAATATAAATTATTTGTTTATTTTTCAATTCTATATCAAATGTGATTAAAAACACACAAAAATAATTAAAAAGATAAAATAAATTAAAAATATAAAAATAATTGAATTACTAGAATTTATATACATATTATTAATTTAATTTTCTAATATAATTATTTTTCTCATAAATATATTAAAACATGTTATAGTAAGGATAGGTATTATTTATACGGGTAAATTATGTATTTAGTACTTAAATTATCAGTTTTAGTATGTTTTTGTACCTAAATTTTCATTTTTGTCAAACTATACATAATATTAGTTTTGATTTCATTTTAGTATTCCGCCGTTAAAAATTTAATGCATTTAGTACCTAAACTATCAATTTTGATCCGTTTTAGTACCTAAACTTTTACTTTTAAAAAAAAAATTAATGCTAAGTTTTTAACGATGTATTAAAATGAAATAAAAACTAAATGTTAGACCTGATTTTGAAAAAAATTAAAAATTTAAATATTAAAACGGACTAAAATTAATAGTTTAGATGTCGAACAGATAGTTACAATATTTATATATATGCCAACTTTACTTGTGTTGGTCAATACGTTTCCATGATATTATTACAAATACTTTAACAACTAGTACTTGGCTTAAACTTAAACCTCACTTTTCTAATATCACATTGACTATATATTATATATTAAGTAGAGTTAAATCGATCTTTTAAATAATAATAAACTTTCTCAATTTATTTTTTACTTATAAGAATTTAAATATCAAATATTATTTAAGAAACGTTAATCTTTTTGTCATAGTAAATTTATTATATTTTAACATTAAAAAAACTTGAATTCTCACATCATATATAAAAAATTATTATCAAACAACATATTTGATGTCAAAATTTATACTAAAACGAGAATGAATAAGAAAAATTTGAAAAAAAAATAATGCAAGGTTTATAATATAAAAAAGTAGGGAAAATAGTGGTTTCATGCATGATCAAAAGCAACAAAACCTAGCTGTTGGTTGGTAAGCAGTCTCCATGTCCAAACACAAATTACCCAATTTTCTTTTTATTAATTATGATTTATTTGGATTTTCTGTTTCAAAATTTGTAGTATAAAACAAAGCTTCGAGCTGGTAGCACCTCGTCTTTCCCTTTATGTGTCATAATTTGTACAAAATTTCCGTTTTTTTCTGTATTTTATAATTATATGCGTTACCAAATCAACTTTTTATGAGTACCTGTTGTCATAAAAAAAATACATAAATCAATCTTGGTATATCAATACTTGTTGTTTATGGAAAAAATGCATAGGATGTCTCTGTACCTTTTGAAAAGAAAATCAATGTGATTCTTGTATTATTTTTTTCTTTTAATGTGATCCTCTTCAACTCAGAAAATAAACTTAATGTGATCATTTTACTAATGTTTTTCATCGTTGACCGTTACAGTATTGGTGTGCTAGTTCATTATACTGATGTGACAGTCTGTCTTCCATGTTAGAGTTACCAAGTAGCCCATCTGTCATGTCAATCTGTCTCCCTAGACTGTCACGTCAGCACCGTAACGATAAACGATAAAAAAAGTTTGTCAAAGGATCACATTAAGTTTATTTTTTGAGTTGAAGGGCCACATTAAAGGAAAAATAATACAAAGACCGCCTTATTTTTTTTTTCAAAAGTGTAACACCCCAACCCGACCCGACCCGGATACGAGTTCGAGATGTCACATTGACTTTTTAAAACAATATTCGTATAAAATATCAAATCATTTGAATTGATATTAAGAAAATACGATCATATATTGTTGAATTACGCTCGTTATAAAATTTTGAGACAAAAACGTATTTATGAACAGCAAAATACGGTATGAATAGTACCGTGAACATTGAAAATTTTTGAATATAAATTGTGTATCGATGCACTACTACAATGTATTGATGCACTGCTACAGTAACTTTCGTAAAAATACGTATAAATTCATAAAAACTTAAGCTTCCATCCGTATAAAATTACCATTTACATATACACGTTTAAAACATTACAAAACTCAATCATATAATTTTACAAAACCAATTAGAGCATATCGTATTCAAATCTTTATTTACATGCCAACCACTATTATTATTACAAAATACATACTACTTAATTCTTTTCTTATCTGATCTTTGGAATGGAGGAGCTGACCTGTCTTGCATAACTTTTATCAATCTTTTTCTTCTCGAAACCTATGTGTGAAACGATCACACGCTAAGTCATAGACTTAGTGAGGCATATAAAACATATAAAAAAATAGAACATTTCATATAATAAATGCATACATATACATATACCATCATCATCAT